TTAAATGTGATTCATAAGTGTCTGAAAAATGGAACTGTGCATAAACTGGCACTGTGAATGTAATACCATGTGCGATATAAATTGGATTGACAGACAAAACAGCTCTATATAAAAATTTCACAACATATTAGACATACCTTATGTACACAAATTATCATGCTAATACTCGTTATGCTTTTCAGGAAATAATTCAAAATTTTTATTTTTAGCAGATTTGACAAATTTGAAATTATTCACACCTCAAATCCTGGTAGAATTAAAATCATGGTGGCGCTCTGAGTAAGAATTTGTTCCCTGATTTTCTATTAGTGACTGGTTTGATGCAATTAGCAGAAACGCTTTCTACTTTCCAAGATACAACAGTATTTTCAAGAGGGCTTCCTTAAAACTTAAGAGCTTGGGCTTATTTTGCATTCCTTCTTATTTGAGAGCTGAACAATTTGTGCAAATGCTTGAGAAAACAAAAATTTAAACAGAAAGAAAGAAAAAAGACAATATTACACCAGCTTGAAATAACACCCTACTTTGACTGAGTGCATTCACTATTACTTGAAATCTCGTTTCTAAGATTCAAATGCATAATGTTTTTTCGTTTTAAATTGTTTTATTTTTCCCAGTAGATTGAGTCGTATTTCACATTTTCTTTGGTTAACATTAAAACTGTAAAAGCAAGCCACAGTGTTAACTAGTTTATGTAGCGGCAATCTCATGTAAACTTTGATTTATTCTTCAGTTAAAGCATCTATTGCTTTCATTTCAACGACAAATGACCAAACCTCCCTGTTGTTGCAGATTACATCCAGGGTAGTTATGGTAACCATCTTCCCATTTCAGTCCAAATGACAGCTATAAGCAGGAATCAACACATAAATTAAAAACAGTTGGTTGAGCCATCCATGATCAGGCTTCTGAGGTTGGAAACCTCCTAAAAAAACATTTATTAAATAAATGTCATTAAATGTATTGTTTTAATTCTAATAGACAAGGATTATCAAAAACAACTGCTTTCCAGAACTGTACAAAAATACTTGTCATACCACACTAACCATAACTTAATTAAATTCATGAGTCACAAATACTAAATGCAATTTCCAAGATTCTTTTTAATTGCTGATAAAAATAACCAAAAAAAACAAACCAAAAATAACATCAGTTCAACTATACAATGTATTTTTTTCATTCTACGTCACCATGCAAAATCATACAGTGATACCACCGATGACAAGTATAACACTGAATTGTATGGTTAAAGCCACAACTTTGTTTAATGTTGTGATATTCCTCATGGCAGAATACAATAAAAAGGGATTAAATACTGCATATTTCCATTTTAAAATTGGTATTTAAAATTATTTCCAAAATATGTTAACACTTATATATGTTTGATTGTTTTGGTATTGGGTGACTTGATAAAGTTGTCATTAATTTTTGTTCGAAGAAAATAATTTTAAAAATCATATAATTAAATATAAAGTTAATTTTGTTCTGGATAAATGTTACTGGGTCACTCACTCTTAGTGTTTCATTTTCTTGATTGACTAACAAATGTTCAACTAGTTATTTGTTGATGAAAATGTTGTGAATTATATGTAATATCTTGTTTAATGAATGAGAAAGGGTTAGGGGAATATAAAATTCATCGGCACATACTTGGTACGCATTGACAATATAAAGGTTACTGCAGGTTGGATAACTCTCCAGACTTCCGTTGATGTAAAACAAATATGTCAGTTGTGTAACCTCCATTGTTCTAGGGATGCCGAGTTGTTGTGTTTGGTTTACCATTGTGGCTGCCCTCATCTGACCTCTGAACCATGCGTATGGTAGTATGTAATACTATTGAATCAACGGATGCCGAATTGTGTCATGTCGTATATTTCATACTTGATCCATTCCAGCAACAAATGGGACTGAACTTTCTGTGTCTGTTAACAAAACTCACTGGAGAACAACAGCGTGGTTATAATCACACGATTAAACCGCTCATACACCAACGGGACTCCATTATAGGCAGTTGAAGTTTTTGTGCCGTGTTTTTCTTCATGTGATGTGGGGCCTTACTCCAAGGCGCAAGCGCACCACCCATAGACATGGAGTTGCTTACAGGGGGTTGCATCGATTGGTCTATGTCAGGGTTCTAGCTTGCTGATATCGTTTCATGTCTACAGGGTTGGAAATCAATGGAAGTTTTCTTTAAGCACCTTACTTATATAACAAGCCGCCATGATGGATCAGAGGCCAATCAGTGCAAAGGCTGTTGATCATGAAATGTAAGTGCCTATAGCATGATTACCGTATTTCCTAGAGATGAATTCGTTAATTTCTCAGGGTGTGGTGAGGTTTTTACCATGGTCTTCGACTAAATGTCAAGTTAAGTTGTGTTCAAATTCATCCTTTCAGTTTGTTTTCAAAGTGACCCTGGGTAATGTCTGCGAAATTAGCACGCACTCAGGCGTGAAAGAACTTATAGACATGTGATTCAAAAGTTAGAAACAAGTTTTTAATAAAAACGACAAAAGCCAATGAAAGCACAAGTTTGTCGGTGATATGCTAATGATGTACATTGTGCTAGATACAATGTTGCAAAGAGATATGTGAGGATTATTTTCCCCAAGTGCCGTAATTGTCACGTCCGACTGACAACAATCTCATTAATAAAGTGTCAAGTAAAACAGGCAAATTCGCAGGTTTTCTCTGTAATTTATGACATACTGTAAATAAAATTGGGTGGCCAACATGCTAATGGCTTTTTGCTGTCGCTTTCCATGGATCATGAATGATAAAGGAAATCATTCAGTAAAAACCATATTTTAGCCAAAAAATCGTGCAGAGTGACTGACATGAATGATTAGGCACCTGCATTGGCAAAACAAATGAGTTAAGTGTGTTCAGGTACAAGGTCCAACACTGCTATCAGTTACAATATATTGTGTATGAAATATGTAACAAACTAAAAACGCGAAATTTGGGACGTAGCCAGGAGGCTTTGACCAAGCATAACACTCTTGCCTAATCTCCCACGAGGACAGGATAGAATTGTATTAGTTATCCTTATCTATGTCATCTTTAATGTTTTTGTTCAATTAATTTACTCGATAATTGCTTTCTTTTTAATGTTTTTGTTTCTTTATTTTAATCAATATTTGAAACACTAATTTTATTCTGTAATTTTACCGAATTACGTGATGTGTTAATGACTGTTTGTAACAGAACACAGAAATCATAGTCTGGTGTTTAAAAACTTAACAAATGTTTTTTTCCTGAATGAAGCAATAATCTCTATGCTATAGGTAATATCCCTAGTGATAACAGAAAATAAGTTAATACTTGCATGTACAACTTAAATATTGCGGCATAAAAAGCGTTTTTTTTTCACATTTCAATATTTTTAATTAGTAAAGTATAATAAAACCAACTAATACCCTCCCCAAAATCACTCTTCGTTATTTACCTTATGTCCCTATGTCACCAGACGAGTATCACACACTTCTTTCTCTGCAATTGACTTATACTCATATAAGTGAACAACTAGGCACAAATTATAATCCGAGAATTATGTGTACCGGCTTGCAGCGAGCAAGATGCGTCTAGTATTCTAGCCTGTCTGCCTCTGCTGGATAGAAAGACAAAACGTGTTGTTTTTATACCACCGGGTACTATCAGTACATGATGTCACATAGTTTGAGAAAACATATAAAGCATTACAATTATCAGACAAATCAAATGTTAGTCTAGAAGTCTGTTGTTCTGTTATTCAAATATTAACAATATGTTCGTTATTAATGCAACAAATAAACCATTTATAATAACCAATTATGTTTATACTCGATGTAAAATATTGTTCGTTGAAAAAAATGAGTTGACATGTGTGAAGAAAATGAATATATTGATGAAAAAAGTACAATAAATTAAAAAACAAAAAATGACAGGATGAAAAAAGAGAGAGAAAAAACAAATTGACTTGAGGGTAAAGATCAGTATCCTAAAGATTCCGTCATTGTCGATTACCGATAGAAAATTACAAACAACTTAATTATACTTACTCAATAAATTATTATTAATAGGAGAATCTTTTTGTTGTTAGAAAAAAATCAAATATTTTGATAGCTTTTAAATTTGTTTAGAGCAAGCATATTGCTTGATCTCTTATATCATATGGGGAAAAAAAATGTGACTTTCAGAATGAGATAAGATTTTGATATTCTGAACCGGGTTCAAAGTCTTGAACTACAATTGAATTATCAGCCCTCTGGGAAATTTGCTAAATTTCAAAATAATTTTTTTTTTTCTTTCCTTGCAAGGTTGACACAGTAAGAGGCCGTCTTGGTCATATGCCTAACCGCTCTATGTAATGAGACTCAACTAGGTCTAATGAAGGCTTCATTACATGATAAGGCAGGGATATATCTAACTGCATACCTCTTTTTTTCAGCTATTCTCTTCTCTTGTAGTGGTGACTACTCCAAGCTAATGAAGCCTATTGGAGCGGATAAGAGCACAACATTTTTCAAACTCCCTAAATTTTCGTCCATTGTTAAAGAGTCTCCATCAACTAGCTTCACTGGGCGTATCCAGCGTAACATTTCGTAACAAGCATGAGGCTTTTTTTTTTTTTTTAAAGCTAGGCAATCTCGTAATTTCAGTGCGGATATTTTTTACCTAGATGCTTAATATCTGTGATTGTTATCAGTTTCTCTAACGAGAGTAGCCATTATGAATGTAGTATTAATTGGGGTAGAAATTGAAAAGTGATCCCTCCTAATCTTAGGCTGCACCCCCACGCTGAGAGTGTTACAGTCCTGAGTCTTGTGAACATGACATTGTTTGGGGGGGAGGTTAGGTGGCAAGGGTGGTGATTGGAATAGGTCATAAAAGAAAGCCATAAAATCCATCAAGCCGGATAGTCCCTCCTACCTGTCCCACCTGCTGATCATTTGAAGGATTCCATAGACAGAGCAAAATGTGTATATGACCAAAGTATAGTTTTAGTCCGGTGGAAGATGCTAACTTGTCTAGAGAGAGAGGCCAGACAGGCCCGGCAGGAAGCCGACTATTACAGCGCAGCGGCATATAGGCCTATGCAGACTCCAGATCTGGTGGAGAATTTGTGGTAATATCAGTGTCCTCTTGTTTCCTTTTTTTTTTAAAAACTATTTCTCAATATTTCTCTACTCTTTGAATATGCAGTGACTGTGATTTGGTTGCTATGTATCGTTTCAAACTGTGTACATTTCGTATTGATGTAAACATCACGTAAAGCGAGTCAGATTTTGTATTTTCAAAATGCATGTGGAATATTTTTACAAATGACAGGAATCTATAAACAAACTTTTTTTCTTTTTTTTTTTTTACAAATTACTCTTATTGTTATGAGAGGAAGGAAAACTTTCATTTTTATTTCTGTGGCACGTGAATATTTTAATAACACTTTTAAGACATTGCATCAAACAACTTCATTTGAATCAAAATATTTACAAGAAAGCCATGTGTTAGAAAATCTAAAAAATTTGGTTTAAAATTTTAGTTTTGGTGAAGCTTATATAATATTCTGTTTTCCAGTCAATCGTAGATTTGAAAAATTCACTATCAAGTGCCGATCTCATATTTTCTTCCATTATCTACATCTACTGTTTTGAATTTTTTTTAATAATTAGACTAACAGTCTCAAACACTGTTTTCTGTCAAGGTGATCAAGAAGTTTGTTGTAATATATTTAAAAAAATAAATTGAGTTGAATCTCTCTTCTCTAACTTGGCTATAAGAACGAAACACAGATGCAAAGAAGAAACTAATGCACTTAAATATTCTGTGATCATAAATACTCAAAAAGACGTATAACGCAAGAGAGACGAGAGCCTATTCAAGCAAGTGACAGAATTGCCTTATGTCAAAGAGATAATAGGCAACAAAGCCCAAGACAACTGGTGATGAACAGGTGCATGGCTTTGTCCTTGGACAGCTTGCTAAATTCACTGGCAAGTAAGGTCTGTTTATGGTCACATTTTAATGCATTGTTAAAATAATAAATGAATGGAGGATACAAATATTTATTAATATTGAAAAGATTATCCTTCTTGTAATCTGCCTTCAATTTTCAATGTTTAAGTAGCAAATTGCTACAGCTTTGGGTGTATCCACTTTGCTGTCAGTTAGCTCACTCAGATCAGGGCGCAGTGTTAGGTTGCATTTACCCAGCAGAGCGCATACGGTTTGCATCCATTGTTTTGAATCATATTTAATATAAATAATGTTTTTTCTTCTTGTTTATTTAAAAAACCTCTATGATATAATTATCAGTTTTAAAGTCTGTTTCTTCAAATCAGAATAAATTGCTGTTGTTTCGGAATGTATACGAATGAAACGGAAATATCGTTAATCGAATTTGGGATTTTACACTGTAAGTTAGTAGATATAGTGAACACGAGTTCGCTGATTCGTTTCTTATGCAAACAGGACACGTTCTCCGGTTCTAAAACTAGCATGGTAGACTTTCTTCATTGCGTATGAAACGTTTCAAATTTGAAAGGGGAAGGGGATTTGAGTTTAACAGACAGAGACAATTGAGTCGTGGAATTTTTAGTGATGCGCATTAGTGGAATTGACTGGTGTTTTGAGAAAGAAATGCAATAAAGGAGAGATATCCATGTCCTGATGTACTTTTGATGTACTGCAATATATGGACAAATATTTTCTTACTTGAAACGCGATTGTCGAGAACGAGTGCTGAGTGCAGCCTGGAGAATTGCATGTGCATTTTGTTGTTTGCTTTCATCGTGGTCCATTGCAATGTCAAAAAGAAACGTCTGGAGCCGTTGTTTGTATTGAGAGCACAGCACGGGAATGACGACTTAATACACTCAAAACAGCCTAATTGAATGAAAGGTTTTTTGGTACGTAGTGATGTTATACAGGAAAATACAGAGCTGTACACATTGATTGGTCTTCTGCCAAGGTGTTCAATATTTAGTTGTACATTTTGAAATCAACTCTCTTATACTCTCTCCAATATATCCTAGCTCACAAACTATTTAGTTTTAAACTTTGATTGAAACAAATCAATAAATTTTCCTTAAATTAAATAATTTTAAAAAGGCAAATAAAAAAAAACTGGAAAATGCAAATATGCAAAACTCAGATTATGTGAACATTAAGATGAAATTTCACCAGAAAAAAAGAGCAATTTTATGATGTACAAAACTATGAGTATCAAAGCTGAGGTAATGACACAGCCATCTTGATATAAAACAAAGCTATATAAATTAAAGCTAATTTATTATGTTTTTTGAATATTAAAATTAAAATACAATTCTGTATAATAGTTGAGGGTGCAATTTGAATATTGTATAATGATCTTTTGTCTATGTTGAGAAAAGTATGACTGTGTAATTGAAAACTTACTTTTTGGTTGATTTTGTTGTAATTACAATTGATTTTTTTTATTTCTCAAGCTTCAGTAAGAGTAGTATTAATTCTTTTAATGATTCCACAGTTGAATAATTTTCACTTTTTTTATAGATGAAGTACATTTTTTTTAGAGAATAAAACATAAGATTCAATTTTTTTATTTTTTTAAATGTATTATCTATTTTTTTATATGCCACATGGAAATGTAAGTCAATTAACTTGAAACTGATTCGATCAAAGTAATGAAAATAAAAAAAAGCAAGGGATTTGCCAAAAACCTGTAATATTTCTGTGAATTTAAAAAAAAAAAAAGTGTGTGTTAACTAGAACATTGAAAGATTGTCTATTTTCACACTTCATGAGTATAGTGTTTTCTGGAAAATGGTGTTTGCCTGGTAAATAATAAATGTTTAGTTGAGAGTTTTCTTTCTTTCTCGTTTATCATTAAATCTAATTAAATGCATGCAGTGGATCATTAACTACAAACATTCAGTAACAAAAAAAAAAAAAAAAGTCAATATACGTTGTATCAATTTTTGTTCCAGTGGGTAAAGAATTCATCAGAGTACATCGCAGAGAGGTAAGAGTTGTAAACTGAAAGAATAAATTCCAGCCGTTGATGCTAAAGCTTGTATTGTGTAAAAAAAAAATGTCGCTGTCTATAGCCAACGAAGGCATTACTAATTGTAGGCATGGTTGGTGAAGCTGAAGTCTGAAGCTGCCAGTATACAAGATTTATGTAGTTTCTCAATTGGACAGTCATTAGTCAGTCACCTGTAAAACCCAGGGCCTTCCTGACTTCTTGCTTGGCTGACACGCTTCCATCGGGCCATGCCTGAAATCCCTCCATCTCTCAGTGATGCAAATAAAAACAGATACCTCATAGCAAATTACTGAATACTAATCAAATTCAAACGACAGTTTAAAAAATGATAATAATAGTAGCTGTTATTAAGCCAATATTGGTAATGTAAGGAAAAGGGATTAAAAGTAACGGAGCATGTCGGTTAATGTGGAGTTCACAATCGCTTCACAATTCGCTGGAAAAGGTAAAAGGTTAAAGGTCAAATATGATAATATCATTCAACTAAAGGCGTATATAATTGAAAATGTACGGAACCGGACGGTGTCATTCAAATCGTGTTAATGGAAAATAGCACTGTAATCATTTAAAAAAAAAAATTGAAAAGTAAACGTTCTACACATTAATTTTGTGGGTCTACTTTTCAAAACTATTCATAATCATTTTCTGCTACCGAACATGTAATGTGCTTTGATAATAAAATAGTTGCAATATATGCATTGATTATTTTTCAGCATACAAGTACCACTGTCTTCAAAGTTGTTTTTTCAGCAAATTGTAAAAGGAACTTGATATAATGGAGGCAACTTATTTGTATTTTCTGTTTTTACTTACAGCATCATTGCAATTCGTAAAGAAAAATCTCGAGATGCTGCTCGTTCACGTCGTGGGAAAGAAAATTATGAATTTTATGAATTGGCCAAGATGCTTCCCTTGCCAGCTGCAATTACTAGTCAACTCGATAAGGCTTCCATTATTAGACTTACTATTAGCTACCTTCGAATGCGAGATTTCACAACACAAGGAGATCCGCCATGGCAAACTTTGCGAGAAGGACCACCACCGAATACGTCTGTTTCAGTACTGCAAAAAGGTATGTATATACCAGAGAAATTTGTTGGCCACTTCAAAATTACCATTGCATAGCAATATTGAGTTTGTCATCGTAATATTTACATATAGGTCTGATTTTAAAACTCATGACAACAAGATATTAAATATTTATTTGGTGAAAATTGTACTTGATTTATTTCTTTGAAGGCCACAATTTTTAAAACAATTTTATCTGGTATTTTGTGACCAAATGCAAATAGTTTTGATCAAAATTTGAAAGGTTTATTTTGTGGACAGCAACATATTTGATTGAATGGCAAATTTAGTAGCTGTTTTTTTTTTTTGGAGGGGGGGGGGGGTTGTAATATCCTATCCACTCCTTCAGTTGTGGCTGTGCCACTCGTAAAAGAAATCTTTAGCGAAACCAGAAATTTTGACACTTTTTTTTTTATATACAGTGATAGCATACTACGAATGTACAAATCATGTAGTCAGTTGATATTCTGATCGCCGTAAGGACTGTTACATGGTTAAAAAAAAAAAAATAACAAGATTTCTAACATTCGCTCCTGACTTACTGTAAAATGACTAATTTTCACTGGGTTTAAATTTCACTGATTTACCATTTCAGGCATAATCAGTGGGTTTTAAATTCACGGTTTCGTCATTTAGATAATGTGTTCTATGTTAAATTTTACATATTCACTGTGTTTTAATTTAGCGCATTTTTCCAGTCAGCGAAATAAGCTAAATTAAAACCCAGTGAATAATTACCCCCTTTACAGTATTTGGGTGTTGATATTACCGGTACCTAACAAATTGTGCAAGATGACAGTTTTAATTTATTAAATGTTTCAGTATTAGCATCTTCCCCTGTTTGACTATACATTATTGCAAATTTGATATTACGTGATATAAATCTTTAAGGGAGAAAAAGTATACAAACTACAAAAAAAGTATGCATTTGTCTCATTTAATTTTTCATTACATATCTTGGGCGAAACGACATTTTACTTTGCTATTTATGGCTCGCATCAGTTGCCTTCATCGTATAAATATATTAATTATAGCACACAAAATTAATGTAGAGATGTCGGAGAAAAATTGAAAAATATGCATCCATTCAAAGTTAGCGATGCGGAACAAATCGATTTAAATCTGGCTTGTTAGAATGCAGAATTACGAGAAGAGGTCCCCTCCACCCTCCCTCAAGACTTAAAATGTCCAAATATAGTGATATACATGAGTGTGACCCTTAATGAGCGTAGATTTCTGAGGTTAAGCCCTCGCTCCATTCCGCAGAGAGAATGATTTCCGTTATAGACATTCACTTCGCTTGCATGCCTTGTTGACTGTCTTTGAATGGCTCAATATTACTCGTGTACTGTCTGCGAAGGGGAAAATTCACCCTGCCGAGCTTTCCCTACTCGATGACTTGCCATGTATAAGTTTGGCCATTAACCTCGCTTGATTATAACTTCTAAATGGCAATAGACTGTAAAATAAAAAGGAAATCAAAACTACATGTTTTTTTTTTGTTTCACACTGTGTTTGGTCAAACATGATATTAGTCAAGCTTGGTGTGTTTCGGAGCTTTTATATTCGGGTGTTAAATCAGCTTGCCTGTGAAAGTAATGGAAAAAAATTTAATGTACTTCCAACGTACAGTAGGTGATTTGTTTCTACCAAATCACAGCTACATGTAGTTTTTATGCAAGCTTTACTCTTTAAATCTATCTAATTCTTGTTATTTTTTGTGCGTTTCTAGATTTTAAAATACCGCGTCGGCGGAGTGCCAGTGCGATAGCAAATGAAGTTTTTGAACATAATCACGGGAGTCATTTACTGCAGGTAAGAATCACTGCTTAGTGAATTTAGAAATTTACAAAATATTGGATGACGTTAAGCTTCAAGATAAAACTTGCGTTGATGTAAGGTAATTAAAACAACTGACATGAACCCTACTATTCAAACCAAGCAAGCAGAAAGAATAATTTCCTGTTCGTCGTTTTTTTTTTTTTTTTGAACATGACTAAAAATTGCGCCTGGCTGCAAAAGTGAAACTTGGCTATAAAGATGACGGAACTGCACTTCTGATTGAAATTTGACTTGACAAATATAATATTTTAATTATCATTTACTCATAAAGCAGGTGTTCAAAAACTGTACATAGTAATGAAAGATTAATACGTAATCCTGGCTGAAAAAATAAGAACAAAAACACACGCCACAAGGACAAATCTGTCTTGCGCTCCGTCTGCGGCACTTGACACTGAAGTGGACCAATTAACTTGCTTGTTTCCTTTTGTGTAATTGAAATCACTGGCGCGAAAATTGAAAGTTACCCCGTTGTTGGTTTCAGCAGAGTCTAATGTGTATGAAATGATTAGTATGTATTATAGCGGTATGAAAGCAATTGAAAGTTTCTCAAGCTTTGCAACGAGTAAATGAGAAAAAAAAGTTTATTTGTAGCATGCTAAAAATGTAGCATAAGAGTCTCTGCCAGTGAATCTATTTGTAGTAGTTGCTGGTGACAATATATATACACTGATTTTATGATATATCACGTAAAATTAGTTGTATGCAAATGAGTTATATTTCTCAAAGACAGAAATTTAAGTGTATATATTCAGCTTACCTTCCTTTATCGCCATGCCATTAAATACTTTCACTATTTTATGTCTAAGGTCATAAACGCAGCAATTAAATATGTTTTTGATTTTGTGTTAAATTTAAAAAGTAAAAACAAAAACATATATGTACATATTTGCTGGCATCTAAGGAGTAAAAAAAGTAATTTTTCTCATACTTTCATGAGGAATGAAAAAGTAACTGTATTTTTTCTGTTAAAAGCACAAATCTAATGGAAATACCCACACCACATAATGAACTATTAATTGATTAATAAAGTCATATGTATACCTCTGTCATTAATATGTAAGTGTGTGCACTACTAATAAAATAAATATGGTATAATGTAATCGATGATGATAAAATTTATTTTCATGATAAAATTCTTTTCATGTTAAATTGTTAATTTTTGCTTATTTGATTGATTACGTAACCTAATTTTAGTTATATATCATGAAATATTTAAAGAATTAATTTTTTCATTTTTAAGACTTAAGGCATTGGGTGCGAGTTCAAAATAAACTTGTTTGGAGTTTCCGACATTCTCTGGTTGCTTAGTTACCATGTGCATGAAGGGAGGTCACTTCCAGTCAGCAGATATACCCAGTTTTAGGCAGTTATTTTGCTATACCAGCTTCAGCTTTGTGCTGTACATATGGATTCTGTATTATAGACATCACATGTTACTTTGAGAGATCATAAACTTTTGATAAAATATAGAAAACATTTTTTACATTCATACACTCAAATATTATGCTTTTGTAAAGTATTTCTGGGGGACAAAATTCAACATACAAGCATGTATACTGAAACTACCAAAAACTGATGCAAACAGACTCATCGACGACCGGTTGTAAAATCATCCCTCCTTTCTGTCGCTTAGTTGTTCAGGAACGTGACAACCATGGAACACTTATGTGGTAGACTTATTTCATATTATTTCGTAACTATGCACAATGGTAGAACAGGTGTGAAAAGATTATTGTGTTTCACAAGAATTTCAATTTAGTTGTATTCCATTATTTTTTGGGGGAATACAAATCAAGTTTATTGATTTCTTTTTCACTGACCTCATACTGGTACTACAGGTATTACTACGTACTATGACTTTTAAATTAATTTGACTTTTATGAATTGGAAACAAAATTAAGATATAATGATTAAGATCACATAACTCAATTTTAGCAGATTGAGTTGCTTTTTCACCACAAAAAAATAAAAATTATCAGAGGGGAAAAATCAAATTCATTATAAAATATCATTAACCACAAAATTTCAAGACACAATTTTGTTTCGCAGAAAGTTTGCAAAGGGAACATTTTCTTTGTTTTTTTTCCTGTATTTTCCACCTTGTGTTGGCCTGGTGTATGTGGTCAGTATCTTTTCAATGACACTAAAATATTTCAACAAGAATTCTCATAACATAAAAATAAGAGCATATATGTTGTAATTTTGTTAATAATTTCTTTTTGCCGTACTTTCCATCTCGTATTTGTGGTCAGTCTCTCACCACCTCTTTATTAAGTGGGAATGTTTCATTTTTAAATTCAGTGACGATTACTATCTTCTGAATCATACAGTTTCACAGACATATTTTCCTCCATGTGATGCCAAATAAATGGACCTAGGCTAGTAAAGATGATTATTGATATATTGAATGTAGAGAACTAAACTGTGTAGTGTACTGTAGAATACTTTATTTTCGCTATTTTCGCTGAAGGAATGATTCAGTGAAAATAAAATCCATACAAAACATCAAAAACGTTTTTTCAGGGAAAATTAATTCCAGCTAAAATAAAGTATTTTACAGTATTTAAGAAGGACATAAGTCAAAAAACAAAATTACATTATGCAAATTTGTCTTTTGTAAAGTATGTAGCCATCATCCTAGCATTTTAACAGAAACACTGAATTATTAAAGATGACTTTTATCATAACTTACTTTTTAAAATTAAGTACAGTAGACAGAAAAAAAGTAAACAGAAAACAAAAATGAGAACACATTTATATTATTATTGTGCTAAAAATAAAATATAGAGTGAAGTTCTGGACTTAATTAATAAAACAGGTTTTCATGATATATTCATAGATTTCTAGTAACATATATATATCCCCCCCAAATGACGTTTTAAAACACAATTCTAAATCTGTCGGTGTAGTTGTAGCCAAATTAAAACCATCTTCTAATTTACGCAATCTGTTGGTATAGAACATATGATACAGCTGTATCATTACTAATCCGGAGACGTCGCGCTGGCAAATGGTAAAGTTCTGATCCAATTGTCATTAAAGAAATGATGCCTTCATGTAATACTAGCAAGATTTACTACTTAAAGATGAATAATACTTTCGACGGAGAGTCATGGCTGTCCGGCCAGATTAGGCAATAAGGTAGCCACTTGTTGGCCTGATGAGAGGCATGAAAGAGAATTACATGATTTCAGGGTATTTGACTTTTTCACATTATGTTCAGACTTCAACCCCAGACTCGAATGACTCCTTGGAGATCAACCGTTATCGGTTTTCCAGTCTTGCACATTATCTTCTTCTTTTCTTTTTTTTTCATCATCATCATCGTCGTCGTCGTCTTCGTCATCTCCCTAATATATGAGTTATGTATGAGCTGGCACTAATCCAGCAGAAAGAAAAAAATCCCCTAAGGATGTTCTGAAAATTAGGAGGTTAAATTAGAGAAGAAGCGGCCCCAATCGAGAACAATCGGTTGTTTGCGTTTGACCAATATGACTGTGTATTGGCGGGATCGGGAACTCTGCAGAGAAATCAGCTCTGGAATGATTTCAGAATACGGTATTAGTCACTAGGTAGCAGGCTTCTTTCAGCTCTATAGTGCAGAGTGCAACATTTAAATTTTTACCAATTTCTCTTGCAAAGTCCCTTCGGAATATTTTTTCTGTAAAATGCTACAAATTGCATTAGTCTTGATATGTAGAATTCATATCACCGTGCCTGGAGGGTTCTTGCAGTGCAAGTCTTCAAATCTACAGAGCCATATTGCGAAAGCATTGAATATATACTCTAAACATAATCATTTTAATTTTGTCTGACAAATTTTCAATGAGTCAAAGACTATAACAAATTTATTTAATTCAGTAGTTGCCATACACTGAATTCAACAAACATTGAATTCACCAAATTTCTGGTGATGACCAAAATTGAAATCAGAATCATGGGAATTGTTCAATTTTGTTATTTTTTTTACCCTAAAAAAGGTTTCTGATATATATGCACATTGAAGAAATATGTGTGTAAGTTTTTAACACATTGAACTTGATGTACATGTGTACCTTTTATAAAGACATTAATAGTATGTGCCATCTGCTAAAAAAATAATGTTGCATTGTGAAATTGGGTAATCTTTACTTTAGGGAAGATACCATTAACTTTAAGGGATGAGTATCGATTTATGCTTTGGCAGGTTTTCTTTCAGGAAAAATTACATGGAACTTCTGTTACTGATTCATTATGTGTCTTTTATAACATTTTATTTGAGTTATTACCTAAGAAGGCGAATAATCATTTAAAATCAAGGCAGCGGGCTTAAAAAGATTGCGATATTACCCTGTGTATCCTCATGAGAAATGAAAAGTTAAAAAAATAATGTGGAGAGCGAGAACAAAAAAATGGGCAGAAGATGTATTCTGCGAGATGATTGCAAATGGTATAAGGTAGAACAGATAAAGCCGTGATGAGCCTATTGGGTGTTAGAAGAAAGATA